AGCAGGAAAAAAAAAAACCCCAAAACATCAGCAATAGGAAAATAATGCATTGATAGGAACAAATTGGTACCTCTTCATAAAAACTCTTTATGTGACTGGCTCCAACTCCCCAACAAAAGACAGTTGGCAGATTGGATCAAAAAACAGAATCCAGTGGTATGGGGCTAGGATTTAGCTCAGTGGTGCTGCCCACCTACCTTGCAAGCACAAGGTTCTGAGTTTGATCCCCAGTACAGCTGCCCCCCAAAAAAATCCAATGGTATACTATATATATAAGAAACATTTAGTCCAAAAATAAATTTGTAAGTTAATATTCCATGTGCTGATAACCCAAAAATGAGCAGAAGTAGCTATCCTATTTTCAGACAAAGTGGACTTCAAGCCAAAACTAATCAGAAGAGGCAAGGAAGATCATTATATTGGTTAAGGGAACAATTCAACAGGAAAAAGTAACAATTATAAATATATCTGCACTGAACATTGGCATACACAACTTCATAAAACAGACAGTACTAGACATAAAAGATCAGATAAACATCAACACAATTATAGCAGAGGACCTGAATACCCTACTATTACAAATTGATCAACTAGACAAAAAAAAAAGTCAACAAAGAAATACCATAATTCAACCACACCTTAACAGATAATGTACAGTGTTGCACCAAACAACAGAATTCACATTCTTATCAGCAGCACATGGAACTTTCTCCAAAGTAAACCACATATTTGCTCATAGAATATACTTAAATAAATATAAAGAATTGAATCCAGGTGTGGTGGCACATGCCCTAATCCCAGCACTCAGGAGGCTAAGGCAGAGGCTCACCACAAGCGCAGTGCCACTGAACTATATATTGAGGTGAAGACTAGCCTGAACTACATTGTGAGGCCCTGTCTCAACACAAAAGAGTTGAAATTATTCCATGCATGTTATCAGATCATAGTCCAATAAAACTAGAAATTAATAGCAGAACAAACCACAAAAGTTATGTGAACATGTAGAAATTAAATAATACATTTATGAGTAATCAGTGGCTCACAGAAGAAATCAAGAATTTACAGTTCCTAGAGTCAAAAATACAGTACAACATGCCACATCTATAGGATGCAATTAAAGCACTCCTATGAGATGTTTATAACTGTGAATGCCCACATTAGGGGGAAAAGAAAGTGACTCTAAATAACCTAATGATTCACTTTAAGATCTCAGTAAAACTAGAAATCCAATTCCAAAGCTAATACAGCTAAAAAAAAATTATAAAAATCAGAGCAGAAGTTATGAAATTGAGAACCAGTGAATCAAAGATCTTTAGAAGAATAAATAATAGGAAAACTTAGCAGATATTACCAAAAACAAAAAAGGCCCAAATCAATGCAATGAGAAACAAGGCAAAATCATAATGGAAGATTATTAGTAACTACTTGGAAAATCAAATAAATTAGAAATGGGTAGATTGCTGGATATATTAGAAAAACTGAAGCAAAAACAAATATATAAATCCTACATAACCCATTTATAGTAGGCAGTGAACTTGAAGAAGTTATAAAAACCAATCAACTAAGAAAAGCCTAGAACCTGATGGAGTCACCTCTGAATTCTACAAGTACTTCAGGGGAGACCTGACACCATTATTTCTCAAACTGTTCAATGAATCCTAAAGGGAAGGAGTACTGTCAAATTCATTCGGAAGCTAGTGTTGCCCTGAGTCCAAAAGAAGGCAAGGCCTCAACTTAACAAAAACTACAGGACAGTCTTTAATGACCATAGATACAAAGGTCCTTACAAGATGCTGGCAAACAGAATACTACAAATCATTAGATCATACATCATGACAGTGGGATTCATCTTAGGAATGCAAGGATGGTTCAGTATAAGTAAATCAGTAATTGGAATACATTACATAAATGTAAGCAAGGACAAAAATCACACAATCATTTCAGTAAGGGAGAAAAGAATTGACAATATCCAACATCTCAAGATAAAAACACTGAAGAAAATAGGTGTGGGAGGAACTTAATCTGATAAAAGCCATTTATGGTGGACTTACAGCCATCATCATATTAAATGGGTAAAAATTGAAAGCTTTTCCTCTGAAATCAGGAAAAAGACAAGGATGTCCACTATACCACTCATTCAATATAGTACATGATCTTTTATTTAGAAGATCTAAAAGACTCCTAGAACTAATAGACAAACACAACAAAGTAACAGTATACAAAATAACACAAAAAACTTAATAGCATTTCTTCCTGTACACGAGAAATGAACCAAAAGACAAATTTGGAAAACAATACCATTCAAAATAGCTTCAAAAAATGAAATACTTAAGAATTAACCAAGGAAGTGGAAAACCTCTATAGCAAAAACTATGATACTCTGAGGAAGATATTATATTAGAAAATGGTATGATGTACCCGGTTCCTAGATAGGCAGAAGCGTTGTAGTCAAAATGGCCATGCGTTCAAAACTGATAGAGATTTAGTACAGTCCCATTCAAAGTACCAGTAGCATTCCTTAACTACAGAGAAATCAATCCTAAAATTCATATGGAACCGGAATAACAAAGGCAATCCTAGGCAACAAGAGAAAAGCAGGAGGCATCACAATGCCCATCTTTGAGTATATTACAAACCTACAGTGGTAACAACAGCAAGTAGTGGCGCAAATCCAGACGTGGATTAATGGAGCAGAATGGAGTGTGCTGAAGCAGCCCAAGACATTCAACCATCTAGTCTTTGCCACAAAAGCCAAAAAACGCACTGGAAGTATCACCTTGTTAACAGGTGATGCTCAGAAACTGGCTGTCCACATGCAGAAAATTGAATCTAGACCTACATCTCTCACCATGTACTGAACTCAAATCAAAGTGAATCAAAAATCTGAATTCTAAAATAGAAACATCTGCTGGAAGATAAAATAAGTTGAAGACATAGGCATAGACAAAGACTTTCTGAACATAATGCAGTTGCGTAACAACATCAAGAATCATCACAGGTTCGATCCCCGGTACCAAAAAAAAAATCAACACAGGATCACATCCAGTTAAAAAGCTGCTGCACAGCAAAGGAAGCACCCAACAGTAAAGTGACAGCCTACAACTGGGGAAAAAAGCATTACCAGTTATCTGCCAGAGGACTAATAACCAACAGCTCCAAAAATAAAAGACCCAGTCAAAAAAATAACTGAAGTAAATAGACACTTCTCAAAAAGTAGTACAAGTGGCCAGTAAATACATGAAAAAATATTCAACATCTCTGGCCACAGATTTGACCTTACTCCAGAAGGTAATAACAAATAGTAACAAATGCTGGTGAAGGTGCAGCAGAAGAACCCTTCTACTTTGGTGGTAGAAGTGTAAACTAATACAGTCACTATGGGAATTCCTCAAAAAATTGAAACTAGAAATTTCATTCAGCGTAGGTATTTCCTTCTAGGAATCTTCCCAAGAGAGTTAAAAATGTCTTGCCATAATGATACATGCGTCCCAATGTTGTTTGGTTGGTTGGTTGGTTTTTTTGGTATTGGGAATTGGGAATTCATTCAGCGTAGGTATTTCCTTCTAGGAATCTTCCCAAGAGAGTTAAAAATGTCTTGCCATAATGATACATGCGTCCCAATGTTGTTTGGTTGGTTGGTTTTTTTGGTATTGGGAAACAAACTCGGGACCTTGTGCTTGTGAGGTAGGCAGTGGAACCACTGAGTTAAATCCCTGGCCCTGCATGCCAATGTTTTATAGCATCACAACTCAATAGCGAAACCTTGGAAGCTCCCTGTATGTCCATCAATAGATGAATGAGTAAAGAAAATGTCAATTTATACACAATTGAGCACCATATCATAAAGAATAACTGAATCATCTGTAGGAAAATGGATGCACCTTGGAGGCTGTAATATTAAGTGAAATAAATTAGACACATGCAAATTTCTCATGGTTTCTCATATGAGAAATCCAGTGCATAAATAAATAAAAGGGCTAAATAAAGATAATAGGAAATGGGGATATAGGTCTTTTCCAAATGGAAAGGGGACCAGCAGAAAGGGGAAGAGGGAAGGGAGGAGAGAAAGGGTATATAAAAAGAACTGAGATTTGTTACGTGTACTAACTCCCCACTATGAATGATGTCATTATATACTACAAACATACATGTACTAATTCCAAAGATGCACAGCGTGGGATGTAGTTCAGTGGTAGGGTGCTTGCCTAGAATGTACAAGGCCCTACATTGTGGGGGGGTACTGGGGATCCAACTCAGGACCTTGCACTTGTAAGGCAGGTGGTGGCACCACTGAGCTAAATCCCCAGCCCTAGGCCCTAAGTTTTATCCACAGCGTCCACAGCGTTGCAAAAAAAAATTTTTTTAATGTTATGATACAAAGGCAGTTTCTCTAGTCTTAATTTTGACTATTTTAAGTTTGAGCTATATTTCAATATCATTAAATCAGCTGGTTATTTGTGAAAGCCATTATAATGTAATACAGTGTTACTGAATTCAACTATTCATGTATCATCTTCGCAACTTACCATAGCCATATATTACCTGTAATATTAGGTATTTTATATTTTTCTTTAAATTACTCTCCTTTTTAAATAAACGGAAGCATAAAGAACCAGCCACTATTACATATCAGAAAGAAATCTTAGTTCCCATAGATAACACATAAGTATACACATTAAAGTGTTAAAAAGCCTAAGATGATAAATATTCCTGTACATCCAAGAATCATCTCAAATTACTGCTAGTGTGTGTATGCCATGTGTTCCTAAATAATAACTGCCGCACATAATCACTGTACACTGCCTAATTCTCATCAACTGTGACGTGAGCCAGCAACCGAGACTCGGTTTTCTCCCTGTAGTCAGGTTGATAATGATTTTGCTCTTGCAGCCCTCATTGTTGGGAGGGCTAAATAATGCCAGCCAAGAGTCCCTGTCATGTAGTAAAGGGCAGTAACTGCTAGTCCTTACTTTTCTTCTTGTTATTGTCTTAACCCTCAGATGTCTTCATTATTTGACCGCAGTCATCCTAAACAAAATACATCACCCAATAAAGATGGTTTAAAAAGTGCTGAAATAAATGTAGAGTTTAGTCAACTAAAACTTGATGATAAAGGTCAGTATAAAAATGTATTATTTGTGCAGTCGCTAGAAAATAATATTTAAAGTGTTCCTAATGTTCATCAATTTTTTCCTATAAAAGATTACCCTTCCAAAACAATAATTTTAATGAAGTAAAGAGCTGTGCCCCTGCTTAATATCTTGATGATGGCCACTGTTATGCTCCAGAAAGCTAATACTTAGGTGCGTTTTTGGAGGGTTAAGCATCACATGTAACTCAGAGCTGGTTGTATTCAATCTCTTAGAGTGCAGCAGTAGCCATGAAGTCAGTGAAGACTGGTTTGATGCTAAAGAGAGCATGACAGGAGTTGGCTCCTCAGGAGTACCAGAAACACAAATCGATCATGATAGACGGAATCTGAAGATTACAGTAGGTTGGTTCTTAAGAATTTATTGAGAAATTCAAATCCAGCTTATTTGAAACTAGTACTTGCCTGTTTCTGTGTTGATTTGGGAGATTGGGTTATATTTTGTTTCTGTGGTACCGTGGGTTGCACTTGTTAGTCAGGCAGCACCACTGAGCTAAGTCCCGGGCCCTCCTGCCATTTCTAATATTTATGCTACCTTTCTTTACTTACCTATCTGCTTCTGCAGATATTTTCCATGATAGCAACAAGTTTATTGAATTTTTCCCTGCTTGTAGACAAAATGCTTAAGATTTTAAAATATAAAGATATAATAAAATTAAAATTACTTGGTTTCTATAACCAGTAATAGCCACTCATAGTGACCATTCTTTTATACATTTTTTCACTTGTGTATGTTTTGTGCATGCCCACACATACACACACATGCACACACACAAAACAATTACCATTTCTTCAGTTCTGGATTGTTTTTCTCCATCACCACACAGCACTTGCGCTGTGTTTTGCATGCTGGCTGTAGTGACTGCACCCCAGGCTGCTCTGTGTGCTTTGGTCACCCAGCAGCCATCCCCACCGCCATGGAAGTGCTGAGCACACAGGGTCTTCAGTAGACATTTCTACTGGGCTAGTGAAGGGGAAGAGATGCTTACAACGTGTATCTTCTGCTCTTTTTACTGTAACTCCTCCCTCCTCACTCCAGTGTAAATTCTAAGTTATAAAGACAGTTTCATTGTTTTCTCCGTAGGACATGTTAATATCCAAGCAGATGAACAAATTAAATGAAGTAAGTTAGTGGAGATTAAGTATTCTTTGACCTCAAGATGAAAGATACTGCCTGACTCTAGCACTGTCACTTACTAGATTTCTGACCCAAACTCCTTAGGCCTCAGTATCCACATCTGTGAAATGGAAACGACAATAACCACCTCATGAGGTAGCTGAGAGGATTTCACGAGGTGATGTTTGTGAAGCTGTTGGCGTAGTGCCTAGGGCAGGAGAAACATTCGATAAGGGCTGCACCACTCCTCCTCCTTCCCTTCTTCCTCTTCTTTTTCTTCTGTTATTTAATGAAAAAAAAATTTACAAATCTCCCATTATGTAAACATTAAAAAATTATGAAACAAATAAAGCTACTCTGAGAGTTCATTCAACAAATATTTGTGAAACCCCTACCCCAATAGTAATTTCAATCTCAATTCATTGAATCATTTTTTATTTTGATTTAAGACCAGATTGTGTTCACAGCAGAGACCATGAAAATACAGTCTAAGGGTTTGGAATATTGTTATTAAACAAGAAATGTCTGTAACCCTAGTTTTGTGATGCATAGAATCGTGCTATTATATGTCTCCTTTCTTTCTATATCATGAAAATATATACATGCTGTTGACTTACCTGATGCGAAGGTTTTTCTTGACATGCTCTTTCCTCAGTGAAGGAACGTGTGTGAAGGGAGTTTCGACTACTAGCATTGATACATTTTCTACGTCCAGGAGACTTAGTGTCAACCAATTCAACTCTCTTTATTTTTAAGATAGGTTTATGGCCCACAAACCTTAAAATTACATTCCAGGCTATTGTCTTCAATCTATTCAAGGCTGTTTGCTGATGATTTTTAAATAAATTTTATAATTGAAGACAAAATCATGAAATATTGAAACGTTTGTAGTTTTTCTTTAAAAATAACAGTACAGTAATAGTCATTTGTGTTTTATGCTTTTCTATAAGCAGAAACGAAGAATGATGAACCCTTACAAAGAGATAAAGGTTTTCTGGTACACGTCGATGGTCTCTGCCCTTCAGTATCTGAGGTATGCCAGGTTTTCTTCGGGGGGCCTTCATTTTCAAATTCACTGATTATATTATGACTATTTTTTCTACCTTTCACAATTTCTTATTTCTCTTGTAGGCTGATTTGAGGTCTTACTTCCAAAAATACCAAGTTTCTGACATCTCAATTTGTGATTCTTCTACTGATTACAGGTGCGTTTCCCCAATTCAGTAAGTGCCTCACCGTGTCTGCCACAGTGGTGACAAAGTCAGGGGCCTCCCTGAGACCCCAGCTAGTGGCAGGTGGCACGCAGATAGCTGCCATCACTGGCGCTGTTCTTCATTGGTCTTTGCTTCTGTAGCCTTTCCAACTTCATTGTGGGGTACAGGAGAGTCCCCGATTCCGTGCCTTTGTCTGCTTACACACCAGTAAATGGGGAGCCAAGTGCATTAGCTAAGAAAATGGACTGTAGAGTGTGTGACTGTGGTCCAGCTCCCACTTCTGTCAATACCTCGGTGAGTGAATCTGGGCAAATCACTTACCACTCCGTACTTCAGCCTTCCATCCGTCAGCCACTAATGGTAATAGTACCTTTTAGCACGGTTGCAAAACCTAAAAGTTAAATACCCCAGAAACTAAGCCTGGCTGTAGTGGGTGCTCAAAAAAGTTTTTAATGTTATTATTTCTGACCCAAATTTGTAGGTAGATGGCTATTTCATCTGTATATAGTGACTTCCAATTTGCATGTTGCTACTCTTATTACATCACCAAAGTATCCAAAAATAGCAAATAACAATTGTGATAACTCAGTAGAAATGGCATTACTGCTTTATCATTTTATTAAATCATGGCTATGTTCTTCAAACATAAAAGCACTTATCAATAATAATTCTACTTATAGTTGGTTTTGAAATTTATTTAAATGTGTGTGAAATGTTCTTAAATGGAGTTACTTAAGATCATAATTTTTAAAATTTGACCTATCAATATGTTTGATATTAATATATTTCACAATGCTAAAGTATTATTGAATTTCTTTTTTTAAAAACTTTGTGTTTTTTTCTCTTCTTACTTGAAGTGTCATACATTTTGTGTGGAAATTTAGAAAATATAGTTAAATACAAGGAAGCTATAAAAATTTACTCATAGTCCCATCATTCAAAATAAGTGCCTATTAGAGTTGGTAATTGATTCCGTCTGAGGCTGTTAATAAGGATAGCTGTTGCCCAACTTTCTCTCAGTTTTATGATTGAAATTCTGTTTATGTTCTCTAACGTCCTGGGGTATGTTTTTCCCTTACATGGTTATAGAGACATTTGGGTAAATGTCCTTTTGCCATATGGAGTTTGTGTTTGTATGTAACCATTAAGGTTTTACTATGGATAGCCCGTTGTCCCTAGACCACAATCTCTGCAGTTCTATCGTATATGAACTTGAGATGTGTTATGTACATTATCAGTTTCTTTCAAGGAATGTAAAGCACTGTGTACCCCACACATGTATTAATAAAGTAAAGTACTAAAAGATTGAAAAGTTAAATTTTAATATGAACTCAATAGGATGTAATTGTTTGAAATGCTTACTATTTATTTCCCATCTATAATTTGTTTTGTATTTAGCTATTCTGAATATTTTTATTCCAAAGTAACCTTTTATTTATTTTTTGGTTTTGTGAGACAAGTTCTTGCTATGTAGTCTAGGCTTGAACTCATGGTAATCACGTCTCAGCTCCCGAGTCCTGGGATTACAAGCAAATGCCACCATGCCCAGCAGTAACGTTTCTATTTTTAAGAGCAGTTATTCTTGTGAGAGATATATTTAGCTAATAGTTAGAAAGTAAAATTTAAGGTAAAGTTGCTAATGGTAAACTGTTTGGTCCTGTGTTTTTATACGATAGATATGCATCTCTTGCTTTTAATAAAAACAGTGATGCAAAGATGGCTGTGAAAGAAATGAACGGGATGGAAATAAATGGAAAATCAGTAAATGTGCGACTTGTTAAAACTCATGGAGAATGTACATCACCACTTTCCTCAAAGAAAAGTCTGAATAATTTGGAGAAAAATACCAACGAAGAAGTCATCCCACCTTCCACTGTTTCTAGACTTCCCCGAACTAGGCCAAGGCAGATGATGTCTGAGCAAGGCAGTGCACTTTCACTTTTGGACCAGGTTAGTTTCTTAATCAGTCCTGCAAGTGGTCCCCTACGTGCCGTGCTGCTGAGAGTGCCTTTGTAGGGTGAGTCCAGTGCCAGCAGTGCTGAAGTAGGACCAAGCATCAATCAAAATGGAGTTTTGCTGTTGCTGTTGTGTTGTTTGTTGCTGGTTCTGGGAACTGAACCTATGCTAGGCAAACTTCTCAGTGGAGTGTTTTACACTCATTGTCTCAATTTATTTGATTGCTTCTCTCTCTTCTTTTTTTTTTTTTTTTTTTTTTTTTTTTTTTTTTGTAGTGGGGATCGAACTTGTGTCCTCCAAGGCGGGCAGTGGAACCACTGAGTTAAATCCCCAGCCCTGCTTCTTTCCTTTGTCCTAATATTCTGACTTCCATTTTTAAACTGCCCTTTTCATTGTCCCTAGTCACGACTCCATTCCTTTTAAAAGATCTTTTCCTTTCATCTCTAATACTTTATGTTTAGGATTGATTTGGGTACATAGTTCCAAACTATAATATGGAAGGAAAAAGGCAGCATACATTTAGGGCATATGCACCCTGAGACGGAGGTTTGGGGGACCTTGTCTCTGCCCTTTTCTCCAAGGTGGTACATGTGGTTGCTTCCTCTGCATCCTTCTGTGCTCCTTCTGCTCCTCGCATGCCAGTTTCCTGTATGTGGGACTGCTTTCTTTCCCTTACTTGGTTTTGTTTTGCTTCATTCTTCTCTGTAGTTTCTGTCTGACTCTGTGATCATTTGACTCAGGAATTTGCTCTCTGCTAATTCCACTTTTTTTAGGCAGAAGGTTGAATTGACCCAGCCTGTGGTTCTGGAGTTTAGTAGTTCAGGAGACAACGCTCTCGGTTCATTAAGCTGTGGCAGTGATCACGAGTGAGGCAAAGACAAAGAGCCCTGCGAGCTTCAGGCAGATGTGTGTCGTCTCAGGGTACATAGAAGGAGAGCCTTACAGTTAACATCTTTGTCATTCTGAGTTCCCTCGGCTTTCTAGCAGTTTTTTGTCCCTCTTGTCTCCTGTTTTTGACAATTATTTATTCTATTCATTCATTTAGGATTCCAAGAAGAATTGTAAACAGATTGACTCTTCTCAGTTATTACCAAAAATACCTGTTCCACTCATATCTCCAAACACCTTGAACCTTCGTAGCTTTACCAAGATCATAAAGAGATTGGCTGAACTGCATCCAGATGTCAGCAGGTAATAACTGAAATTATGTTTTAAATAAGTTCAAACTTTTCTATAACAATATAGGTCACTTCAATAATTTGGCCATGTTCAGAACATGTTACTTTGGAAAAGGGGAATGCTGATGTATGCTTTCCTTTCACATAGAGACCATATTATCGATGCTCTTCAGGAAGTGAGAATGAATCATAAAGGTTTTCTGAATGGCTTATCTATCAGTACTATTGTGGAAATGACTTCATCTGTTCTGAAAAACTCTGCTTCCCATTAGGACGAAACAAATCAATAAAGAGGTAAAGTGGTCATATTCTTTTATATTTAAATATTGTGAGATATTTCATTTTCTCATATAAAAAGGACAACTCTAAATGAAAATACTACTATAATAAAGTAACATTATTAAAGTTAGAAACAAACATTATATTAGTTAACTACTAATGCAAAGCCAATTACTCCAAAAGTGACTGTCAAAAGCAACATTTATCATCTCCCAGCTCTCAGGTCAGGATCCAGAGTGGCATAACGAGGTGGTTTAGCTAAGGGTCTCGTGTGTGGCCCCTGCCTGTGGTTGTCCAGTGGTTAGACTAAGAGGGAGGATCTGCTTTTCTAATTCAGGTGGCTGTCAGTGGCAGGCCTCAATTTCTCACCTAAAGTTGCTACAGATCAACATAGAGTCCCTTTCCTCAAAATAGTGGATTCAAGGCTCTGTTTCCAGTTGTTGGTGTCTAGGTGATTCAAGCAAACTTGCCATTGAGAACAGCTAAGAAAACTGAAAAAAATGTAAAAAAAAAAAAACAAACAAACAAACAAACACTGAAAAGCTGTCAAGATAATGACCAATTGCTGGGAGAAGGGTATTAAGAAGATGAGTTTCAGAGAAACATGTCCAGTGTTTAAGATCAGTTTGCCTCTAGTGTTACTTGCAGAGAAGCAGCCAGGAGCTTGAGGTGCTCTTTTGATAGCATTGTAGTCAGGGGAATGGGATCTTGGTAAACTTCTAGCAGTGGGGGTGGGGCTGAAGCTCCTCTCATCAAGAAGCAGAATCTGTCTTCTACCACTTTGAATATGGGCCAGCTTTATGACTTGCCTTGACAAATTATGCTGTTTCCAAAAGGCCTTGATTACTCTCAGAAGTTTGTTGTGTTCATGTGAGGAAGCCCAGACAGCCTGTCAAAGGACAAGAAACTATGTGGAGGACAGCCAAGGCAGTCTAGCCTACAGCCATCTATGTCTGTGCATGTGAGAGAGACTAGCAAAGATCAGCAGAACAGTGTACCCAGCCTGGCAGTTGTCCACAGATGCGTGAGTGAACCCATCCAAGATGATAGGAATCACCTACAGGAATCAACCCATTGCTAGTTAGCAGAATTAAGGGATAAATAGCTGTTATTTTAAGTTAGTAAGTTTTGAAAAGGGTTCACTACACAGTAAAAACTAATGCAGATGTATTGTGTTCAAGGACACAAAAGATAAAACAGATTTTTTGTTAGTAGATAATTGAAAACATCTTAAAAGTAAAAATTCCAAAAAGATTTAGTGGTTCCAGTGCCTTCCTTGCAAGCTCAAGGACCTGAGTTTTTGATACCCAGTACCAAAAAAAAAGTGAAAATTCCATTTATTATTGAGCTTTCCTATGTCTGGGAATGAATAACCGTTATCCACAGTTTAAAGGGGAAGAGGTTTATTTGGCTTATGGTTTCAAAAGATTCAGGCAGTGGTAGGCTGGCTTCAAGGCAGGGACATCATGACAGAAAGGTGTGGCATAACAAACCTACTTAGCTCATGGTGATCCTGACGCAGAGAGATTGAAGAACACCAAAGAAAGGGGCCAGGGACCAGATATAGACCTCGAGGTCATGCCTCTATGACTCAGCCAGACACACTCAGAAGTGTGCTTTATTAATCCCCTGGGTGACTCCCAATACAATCAAGTTGACAGTCCACCTTGATTGTCACATTTCATTAATGAAAGATAAAGTCAATGTAATAACTTAGTAGGCTCTATAGCTGATTAGACAAATAGTTGAAATAATAGTTAAAAGATAGAAGAAGGTGGATATATAGGTACACACCTGTAATCCCAGAACATGGGAAGCTGAGGCAGGAGGATGGTGAGTTTGAGGCCAGCCTGGACTGCACAATAGGTTCTCAACTGGCCAGGACTACTGTATGAAAGAAGGAAGGAAGGAAGGGGAGAGAGAGAGAAAAGAGAGAGAGAGAGAGGGAGAGAGAGAGAGGGAGAAGAAAGAGAAACTATGGATTGAAACATGGGGAGTTAAAATGAAAACAAAAGTAGTAAAAAGTATATGATACAGTTTTCACTTTTTTCCATTATTTGTGTAACCAAATTTTAAACAAAAGAAGAAATTAGAGCAGACACAGTACTGCAGAAAAATAATGGCTGAGGAAAAATAAGAACATCTCAGTACATCAGAGAAGACTACTTTAAAAATCATAACAAGGAATGGGGCTTTATTTAGCTCAGTGGTTCCGCCACCTGCCTCACAAGCGCAAGGTCCCAAGTTTGATCCCTGGTACAAAAAATAAATAAATAAATAAATAACAAATAATAGCTTACCTTAATATAATAGACATGATTAAAATTTAAAATTAAGTGAAATAAAAGTCACAAAAGAGAGCTAGGTGTGGTGACACATGCCTGTAATTCCAGCACTCTGGAGGCTGAGGCAGGAGGATTGCCACAAATTCAAGGCCAACTTGGACTACACAGTGAGTTCAAGGCCAGTTTGAGGTACATAACAAGACTCTGTCTCAAAAAAAAAGTCACAAAAGAGCAAGTACTGTGAATCCACTTCCATAAGATACCTAGAATAAGTAAACTGATAGAAGCAGAAAGTACAATGGTAGGTGTCGGAATGGGTGAAGGGAAGAGTATAGTGTTTAATGGTTGTAGAGTTTCAGGTCAGAAGGATGAAAGTATTCTGAAGACTGATGGCAGTGTGATGGTTGCACAGTGCTTATGTATATACTGAGGTGCACACTTAAAAGTAAATTTTATGTATATTTTATCACAATAAGAAGTACATAATTCCCATGGTAGTACAAGGGGAAGCATATGGACTAATAAAACGTATTTTAAATATAGGTCAAAAAGCATAGTAAAAAGAAACATAGAACAGTTAGGATAAGTAAAGTACTTAAATGATGAAAATTTAGTTTTTCATTAAATATAAATGCAAATTAACTATAAAGAACTTACATCATCAGATTAGAATGTTGTAAGCAAACTACATTATATACTATCTCTGGACATGGGTGAAATATTAGGATATCAAAAGATAAATACATAGAAAAAATAACTATTAACACTAAACAAAGTAAACTTTAAACCAATAAAAATAAGAGAGAAATATTTAGTGTACAAGAAATAAATGACAGTCCTAAATTTGAATACATCTAATAAAATACCTTCAAAATGTATAGATCAAATGCTTCCAGAACTTGCAGTCTGCAATTGTCATGAGATTTTTAACATACCTCCCTAACTGATAGAAGACGCAGACAAAAAAAAAAAAAGAGCAATAATGTAGAACATTTGAACTACCTTAATAAACGGCTTCCTTTACTGCCCATTTGTATATAGAGCATAACAACAAGGACTGCGAATTGAAGCCTCTTCAGGCCACTTAACTCTTCACAAAGGTTGACCGTATATTGGACTACAACATAAGTCATGGCAAGGACTAACAGACTGAAAAAACAAGCTTTTTCTCTGAACACAACAGCAATAACCTGGAAGTCAGTAACTAAAAGATAAATAGGGAAACCGACATTTGAAAATGTGCTTCTAAATACCCAGTGGGATGAGTGAAGGAAGTCATGATGAAAATGGGAACACATGTTTTGGGGAGCGGTCATGGAAATAGTCCACATTGATTTTGTAGGATGCAGGTAAAGCTGCACTTACTGAGCAATGAATGGCTTGGTCAGAAGAGAATTGCAATCTAGTGAGCAAAGTATAGAACTCCAAAAGTTTGGAAAACGAGAACATGACCCAAAGGAAGTATTTAAAGAAAGAAACACTGAAGTGTAGAAATTCATAAAGTATAGAAATAAAAATGGACACAAGCCAGACATGGCGGTACCTGCCTATGTCCCTAGCTGCTTGGAAGCCTAGGGCTGAGTATCACTTCAACCCAGAAGTTTGAGATCAGTCTGGGCAATGAAACGAGACTCTCTCTCTCTCTCTCTGTCTCTCAAAAAAAAATAAAGAAATAAAAATAAAGAACAGAAACAGAATAAGAAGTATGGATAAACTGAAAGTTGATTTTTAAATATAATAACATTTCTTTTATATCAATTCCTATTGATAAACTGAATATGAATTCATATTAAATGATATGTGATGAAGCTTGAGAAAAAAAAAGTAAAAAAGTCACAAATAGCCAAGGTAAAGAACTTTTTTCAGGAAAGCATCACTGCAGATTTCATAGACATTGAAACTATAATGGGGTATTGTAAGTGATTTTAGTACATTTAAAATTTTAGATTACATGGGCAACTTTAAAAGAAAACAGATGACACTAGAATATACTAAAAATATAACAGTAGTATAGTATATTTATTTTAAAAATCAAGTCATAAAAACCTACAAAATAAAATCCAGACTCCAGTGGGTTTATTGATGGATTTTCCCAAATATTTAAAGAGAAACTCAGTTGTAAGCTCCTCTAGAGAAACCAGCAGTCTTGACACCAACACCAAAAGAGACATCATAAGAATGAAGGATAAGTAGGCCAGTCTCATGAACGTGGATGCAAAAATTCCTAAATAAAATATTAGTAAACTGAATCCAATAATCTGAAAGCAGTAATTCCTTATGTCCAAATTGACTTTAGTCTTGGAATGCAAGGTTGATCTAACATTTGAAAATGAATATAATTCATTTTATGGATAAAGATAAAAAATCATCTGGGGATTTCAGTAGATGCAGAAATAATTCATAAAATCCACCACCCATACATGATAACATTATTAAAGTAGAAATTTGTCCTTCATTTGACAATGAGTGATCCCAGGCTCTATGACTTCCTTCAACTGGCAAGCTAGTACATTAACTTGCCATGTGATACTAAACTTTACTGATACTAAAGAAGATGTGAGGCTCAAATCGGGACAAAAGACAGTTCTCGCTTGCAGCAATAACAGTAGCCAGAATATCACTTTTGTTTCCAGTTCTTTCAGAGAATTCAGTGCCTGAACATGCAGCAAGGTGCATTAAAAGGAACCTTAAGCTTAAGGAGTATAAATTACTTCTAAACAGGCTGGAGAA